GTCAGTTTACCAACACTGAAAGGGTTTGTGATGACAAAGATGATTGAATGTGAAATTGAAGAAGAAAGTAAATTAGTATAAAAAATACCGTTGGAATTGATTTATTCCAATTGTCTGGGTTGTTGCAGGGCAAGTCTCCCCCAAACTTATGGAGAGCAGATGGAAAAAGGAAAATAGTTTATCTTTCAACAAGAGAATTGATGGCCTTGCTAAATTTAAACTCTTCAGCTTTAACTTGAGACATCTGGGAAAATACTCAAATCTGTTAATCATCTAGTTTGTAACCATCTAGAAAGATGAAGGTCAGAAAAGCCCTTTAACATGGGTTTATGAAGGGCAAATATTATCAGGGTGATTTCATTTCCTTTAATAATAAAAGATAAAAATCTGTGGAGGAGGAACAGCAACATGTATTGTCTCCCTGGACATCAAGGATGTTTGCTGTTCATTCGTTTGACGGGCTTGCTAACGCACTAGCAAGACTTGGGCTGGACTGCACTATTGTTCAGGGGAATGTGCAAATAGGCTGAGGGGTAAGTGTGCCCAAAATGGTACAGTGCAGTGGCTCAGCACCAAGCTGGGACCCAGCAAGTAGTACCTTACAGTGAGAAGTTTTCTGGCGGCTGTGTGATTGCCTGGCTCCTGACAATCAGTAACACAAGGATTGTTTTTGTTCCTTTAAAACCTACCACCCAGAGAATCTTTATTATTCAAGTTTCAGATTTACTAATGTTCAATTTGCATACACTTTGTAAGGGACATTTCTTGTGTGGGAAGTTAGGTCCTGCTGCCCTAAGTATTTTAATCAGTTACCTTGGATGGGGAAAGTAATGGCATGTTTATTAAACTTGCGCATTATACTAAGTCGAGCAAGGTCACTAGTATTTTGAAAAAGGATTACAAATGACCTTTAGAGATAGAGCAGGAGTTTTCAGAAAGGGCTTTAACACCACTCCCACATCACCTCCATGGACAGTTGATCTCTTTTACTTGTTTATACTTTCTGGCAAGATTTTGATGGAGGAAAGAGTTCCTTTACTTAAAAAAAATAAAAGTAAAAAAAATCAGTGAATTAGAGAAACAGTCTGACCAAAATGAGATAAAGTTCAGGAAGGACAAATACTACGGTGCTGAGGTTTGGAGGAGCAACATCCTCTTCTAGTCCCTACTTCATTTGAAACCAATAAAGAAATATGACACAGAAACCAGCCAAAGTTCTAAGTAACAGCTTGATTTCAGATAAAAGCTAAACCTGAGGATACAGCCTAGAGCTGTGTTCATGAAAAGCTTCCAGATGGTTGACGTATTGACAGACTTCCCCTGTGGGCCTATTATAGGGGCAGAACCTAACTCTTAAGCAACACACAGTGGAGAACATACCAGAAAATTCAAAAGGGCTTCAGCAAAGTCCTAGAGAGAGTATGCCAGTTTCCTGCTCCCAAACCTGCCCATCAAGTTAGAAGACAGAATTGAGATGGTAGTAGGAAATATTTCTTTGGGCTTTGGCCTTCTGAGGAGAGCAGTGTAAATTCTCTCCACTCAGTAGAAGTATGAATGGGGAATAAATGGCTATTGGCTAGTCAGGTAAAGCTAGGACCAGAACTCAGGTCATCAATAGTCTGAAAGGGCTATGTTTCTCTGTTGATAGGAAAAGACATTTTTAGTTGACTTTTCACATTTAAACCAGACCTGGATTAGCATATTTCCTAAGGCAAGTGATATTTTCTTTATGCAAGGCAGATTTATTCAAAGGATTGTTATAAGATACAGAATTATAGGGCACACAAGTCTGATAGATATAAAGAATTGTTATGAGGTATAGAATTATAGGATGATGAAAGTTAGAAGGGACCTTAGAGTTCATTTGTCAGCCGTTTTATTCCTAGGATGAGGCAACAGAGCCCCACAGGGTTTAAGTGACTTACCCTGGACCATTTGCCAAGCTAGTTACTGACTGCCAGGATAGACCAGGGTCTTCTAATTCCTAAGGCATTGACCCCTGTGCCCAGTTTCTCTGTATTTAGACATAAGGGAAAGTAGGCTTTCATTAAATGAAATTTGGAAACTCCATTAAATTTAAGAACTTTAAAGCTAATCTAACAAGACATGTCCATGAATACATGGAGAGTTGCAGGATGTAATGGCTTAAGTGGTTGAGGGAGGGGCTCTGAAGTTAGACTACTTGAGTTCAAATCCTGACTGTGCCAGTTACTAGTTGTTTGACTTGAACAAGTTGCTTAGCCTTGCTGAGCCTCAGTGTCTTAATTTATATAATGGACACAATAATAGCAGCCTACTTAGAAGGTGATTATGAGGCTCAGATGAGAAGGATGTATTATAAGATGCTGTGATTTGCATAAATGAGTTCTTAGCACTTATAGGCACCAATAACTATTATCTGTCATCATCATCATCATCATTTTACCTCTGAGAAACATTGAAATCTTTACTGTGAAGACAACTCTTAGCTTAGGATTTTACCTATACCAAGTTACTACTTGTCCTAAACCTCCCTTTTTTAGGTCTCCCAGGGTAGGAGCTAGTTAATCATCTTTTTTTATTCTCTGTCAGTGCTCTCTTACTAAGTCCTATCTTGTTCACTTCCAGTGTTTTTCAGTGAACTTCTCAATCCCCACAGTCCCCATCCTAATTCAGGTCCTAATTCTCACAGGCCTGGATTACTATTCAAATCTCCTAGCTTCTCTATCTGACAGCAGTTTGCCTTTCCTCCTGTCTATGTTGCTACCAGCCTGATTTTCCTGAGACACTGCTTTTATCCAGTGTCCTTTTGCCTTGGAACCTGTAACAACTTGACTGTCTGCAGGCTCAAGGCCAGGATCCCCTGACTGACCTTCAGGTCCCTCTAGAACATCAGTGTCCAATAGAAATATAATATCAGCCTCAGCCATACACATAACTTTAAAATAGTCTAGTTACCACATTAAAAAGTAACAGGTGAAACTACTTTTACTAATATAGTTTTAACTGAAAACATCCGAAGCAGTATTATTTCAACATGTAATCAATATAAAAAGTGAATGAGATATTTTACATTCTTTGAGGTGGTCTACATGCTCAAAAATCTCATGGGTGGGGCTGGGGATGTAGCTCAGTCGCAGAGCACTTTTCTAGCATGTACAAGGCCCTGGGTTCTATCCTGAGCAACACACAAGAAAGAAATTCCCATGTGTGTTCTACATTTACATCACATCTTGATTCAAACTAGCCACATTTCAAGTGCTCAGTAGCTACATGTGGTTAAGAGCTACTATTTCAGATAGTTTAGTTCTGGAATGTGATTTGTCACCCCACAAACAACATATACCTCTCACTTCCTTGGTTGTTAAAATGCAAAAGGGACCTGGGCATGGTGGCCTATCCCTTAATCCCAGCATCCTCGAAGGCTGAGGCAAGAAGTTCCAAATTTGGGCATCTTAGTGACCTAGCAAGACCCTATTTCAGAATTTTAAAAATTTTTTAAATGGCTAGGGTGTAGCTTAAAGGCCCAGCTTCAGTCCTCTATACTGCCAGAAAGGAGGGAGGAAGGAAGGAAAGTCAAAATAGGGTTGGTATTGTTGTGCCTATTTTTATAGGGTTATCTTATGCCACTGTGAAAAGTGAAAGTGCTTTGTAAGCTCTAGTTCTCCAAGAAGGTGTGGAAATTGTTATCAGAAATAAAAGTTTTACTGACACGGGAGTAGGATATGTTTGAAGTAAAATATTTCAAAGGAAGACTATTGAGATGGCAAATCAGAGGTTGGAGATGTAGCTCAGTAGTAGAGTGAGTAGTTAACATGTGAGAGGCCATGGGTTTGAGTCCACAGTACTATGAAGAAAAGAGCAAACTGGCTGTCTTTGAATTCATTTGTTATAAAAATTAATTTCAAGAATGAATGAAGAGTATAATGTGTCTTCTCCTGCTCTCTTTATAGTGGTCTTTGTGGAATAAGTTTTTCACATGAATAAAGTTCTCTAAATATTTTAATTGATCTATGGGACATTTTTTTTCCTACAATATTTTGAAAATGGAGGGGAGCATTTAATTTTTATCTTGAAATAGGAGCTGGAATGCTACCAAAATATTCATGGTTTTGGTAGTAAATGTAGCTCACATACTTTGTAGTACTGAGGTAGGAACAGCATTATGAATTTCTCATATTTCCAATTTGTTGCCCAGGATTGGAACTGACCAAAAAAACAATGTCAGAAATTCAGATGTCAAAGCTATTTGTAAAATGCTTTCATTCCATATTATAAAGGAAATTTTAAATACTGTAGTAATTATCCTGACAGATTGATGAATAAGACTATTAACCATTGGGACATTACTTGAAATATTGATGAGTTATAAAGTGACACTCAAATCTTTTGCCAGCACTTTGCCAACCAAGTAGTCCACTCCTTTTTCTTTAGTCATACCCTGAACTATTACAAGGGCCTTTCAGTAGCTCAATACTTAATATAATATAAATGTAAGTTTACTGTGTGGAAATAAGATTGCTAAACAAACTAACTTCAAAAACGTCGACTTTATTCATAAGTTTGCCCAGGCCAGATATCCCAACCTAGTATATGACCCTTTCTCTCTCACCCATCCCTTTAATTAGCTAAATCCTTATGACTCTGTCTCTTGAAACACTTTTTTAATCTGCAGCCTACTGTCTGTCCTCGCTGCTCTAACTCAGGCTTTCATCACTGTTCTCAGAAGCTATTGCAACAGTCTCCAAACCAGTTTCTCTGCCTCAAGCTGCATCCTCTCCTCTACCCCTCAATTTAGCCTCACCTCCCAGCAGAATGATCTTGCAGCTCTGATCATGCTGCTCCCCTGCTTAAAAACACCAAGTTCATCCCAGGGCTAGCAGATAATAATCTAAACTACTGAGCATGGTGTTCAAAGCACTTTACAGTCAAAGCCCAAATTGTCTTATCAGCCATGCCTCCTGTCATGTGCCCACAGCAATGATAATCAAATTAACTTGTGGTTCTGCAGTAAATCTTACCCTTTAATGAATTCTGTTTTTTCCTTTCCACGGTCCCCTCCACTCCTCACACCAGTGGGTCTCATGAACTTCGGGCTTCTTCAAATATCCACTCTTGTTCTTTCAGCCTCCATGTGGCTTCCATATCTCATGGTGCTGTGGGAGTCCAGGAAACTAGAAGAGTGCTGTAGCCTTCGGCTAAACACAAATTAAATCATTTCGTTTGTTTCTGTATTACTTGTTTCTGCTTTCCTCCTCTAGCTGTACCGGCCTGTTAGGCATCACTTCAGCATTCAGCATATCACCCTGCTGTCTGGGTTTACAGAGACACGGGCGGCTGTTTTGTCTACCATGTTGCCCAGCCATGCTATCTGACTTCACCCTTGCTGGCCCACTCCTCTGTGACATACCCACAGCTCCCATAGTCTTTTGGCTTCTCTTCTTTGTATTTTGTGCTGCTTTGCTTTTGTAGCCATCACTGAACAGTCAGCAGGATCCTTCCCTTCCTTCTGTTCTACAAGCCAATAAATAGATCACAGCGTGTTGGCTGTTGACTTTGGGTCTTTGGTTCTTTGCTGCTATTCAGCTGCTGGGGGCGCCTAGAGGGTGCTCTTTCTTTGCCAAAGCATTTTTTTTTCCTTTTTCGTCTTATTCTAGATTTAGGGTTTTCTGAATGCCTGATAGTGCCAGAAGCATTGTCTCCAAATAAATGTGGCTCTATTTCTATAGTTTCCTTTTATTTTCATTTAAAAGTGAAAATATTGTTTGGGAGACAGAATCTTGGTTAGAAAAATTCATAGAGAAGAGACACTCGATCGCCAAGTTTATCTCTATTAAGGACAATGCATTTAAAAAGTAACTCTTCCTTGCTGTCCCCTTACTCGAAGCTCATCATCCGTGTCAAGCTAAGGTAACTGAGGTGTTTTGGTAGGTTTGGTTGAGCCTGAACAGAAACCATAACAAATGGATGTATTGCTTGCTTGAATTATTTACTCTTGATCATTAAAGCTAGCTGATCTTTCTGAAACTGATCACTTGCTTTAGCCCTGAGATCAGACAAGATATAGAATAGAATTACATTAAGGAGCAATTAATTTGTCAAGCCGAAGTTCAATATTTTCTGTTTAGTGCCTGTTTGCATTTTATACCTTGTTCATTGTATAATCAGGAATTTCTTTGTAAATGTTTGGTTTTCAGGTTGGTTGGAAGGAAAATCATGCAACATTCATGACCGAACTAAAAAATCTTCAGGCTACTGGACTGACTACTCTTGGTCAGGCTCTAAGATCCTCATTTGATTTGTTAAATCTCAATAGATTAATATCTGGAATAGACAATTATGGACAGGTAAAATTTTTTTTGAGTGAGTACAACTAATTTCCTTTGGTGACTTGGGGTAAGAATTCAAAATTGGGGGGCTGGAGATTTAGCTCAGTGGCACCATGGCTGCCTCGCAAGCGCAAGATCCTGAGTTGGATCCCTGGTACCAAAAAAAAAGAAAAAGAAAAGAAAAAAGGAATTTAAAATTGAGCATGGTTACCAAGATTTCTGCTACTTTTGATATCCTCCAAAAAGGTTCATATAACTTTTAAATACATATTTTTTGTAAAAACCTCCTTCTTGATTCTTGTATATGGCTTGATTTAAAAATAGTTACAATTGCCTACCCACCACATCATCGGATATCTGAAAATGGGATGAATAAATTTTTGCTGAGAAATATTGGAAGAAGACAGCTGGAGAGAATCTTTCTGTGTTCCTAACCCCCTCGCCCCGCCCAATGTGATGAAAAAGCTATAGTATAAGAGGAAGCCAGAAAAGCATTTGCTGCTGCCACCATTGTCCTTATCTACTCTAAATACTCTGCTCATGATCTCCAGAGTCACCTCCAGGTTACAGAGTTTGTTGCTAGTGTCCCCTGTGCCAGGATTCTGACTCAGGTGAATGAATTAATGAATGTGGATGATACTGCCATTACAATCACTTTAATAACATTTTGTGATTACTTGGAAAGCTGAGAGATAAAGTATTTTGAATGTTATGGCTTGGGGAGTTCTAGAATTTCTCAGTTGATAGAAATGTTACCTCTTTCAAGATTATTTTGGTTCCTACCCATTTCAGTCCCTAATCTTTTTCTCCTTATATATCTAGGCAGATTTTAACATGTATTGGGGAGATCATTAACAAGGCAAATGTAAAAGTTTAAATATAATTTTATTATTTTACACAGCTCTAATTCTTTTTACATGTATTTTAGGGGAGAAATCCATTTTTTTTAGAACCATCTATTTTAATTACCATCACAGATGGAAACAAGTTAACAAGTACTGCTAGTGTTCAAGAAGAGGTGAGATTTAACTTTTAAAATTTCATTTAAATGGCAGAGAACATGCAGCTATTTCTGTGGGAAGCGTGTATTTCCAGTTAAGAGTAAAGTTTGGACAAACATGCTATTTTGGTAATCCAGATAGAGATTGCTTAGTTTTATTATGTTCCGTGAAAGAAAAGTGAGCCTTTTAACTCTTTCTGCATTTTTATATGGGTTGTCATGATAAACCTTTTCAAATTTTGCCTTATCAGCTTCATCTTCCTTTAAATTCTCCTCTGCCTGGAAGTGAACTAACCAAAGAACCTTTTCGTTGGGATCAAAGGTTATTTGCCCTGGTGTTACGTTTGCCTGGAGTGGCTTGTATGGAACCAGAGCAACTAGGGAGTGTACCAACTGATGAATCAGCCATCACACAAATGTGTGAAGTCACAGGAGGTATTGGTGATATTTCATATTTCTAAAGGAAGAATATATGGCAACAGTATAGTTTTCATTAAATGCTATATCTAGACTTTGCTTGTTCTCCTTTAAAATCTTTTAACTCTGCAAAAAAAAATCTTTTAACTCTGATACTTAATCCCATTATTGGTACTATACTTGGTGCCAATGTAGTTATGATTATTCCAAGTTATATTTTAGAATTTCAGATGCTTATATTATGATATAATACTTTAATCAAACTTGTGCTCTTGTGATTTTCTCTCTCGCATAGGTCGCTCCTACTGTGTTAGAACACAACGGATGTTGAATCAATGTTTAGAATCTCTAGTTCAAAAAATTCAGAGTGGTGTAGTTATTAATTTTGAAAAAACGGGACCAGATCCTCTTCCTGTTGGAGAAGGTATGGTGGATAACATTTTTTAACCCCAAAGTGTTATATAGGAGAATGATCTGACATTCAGAATACTTTAAACAAATTATAACAATACCCTTCATTATCCATACACATATGAATGGTTACAGACATCTATACAAACAACTACTTTTCTTTGCCTATGTAGATATGTCAGTAGGCTAAATTCTAGCGACTTCAATTTTTGTTGAATATTCTTAAGAAAATTCTTCCTTCCTTTCCCCAAATCATTTTATATTCCCTTGTCCCAATCTTGGGATGACACTGACTCATTCCCTCTCTATTCACAAAATGTCTGGGTGTTCCCAATAGTGTGGCTAATCTTGTTTGGGGCTGTGAGCACCAGATATCCCAAGCTATCTTAATAAAAGCTATGTTAGTTACTACCCCACAGCAAGAGATCATGAATTGTTTATCCGGGAACTTAGAGTGTTCTGTAAGGTTCTACACTAGCTTTTTCCTGTTACTTTTTTTAACCGTACAAACTTTTTTTTTTTTTTTTTTTGGTACGGGGCTAGAACTCCAGACCTTGCTTTTAAGAGGCAGGCGGTGGAACCACTGAGCTAAATCCCCGGCCCTATCCATAGAAACTTTTAAAATGAGTTTTTACAGAAAGTCTGACATCTAAATGGATAAAAGCATAACTACTTTTGCATAGGGGGAGTTAAAATGTAGTGAATTTTCAGATGCTTTATGAATGGACATTTGCGACTACTTGTGTGTGGATTTCGAAGGGGTCAGGGAACTAAACCACACTATAGTAGTGTACTGCAAGGTTTCCTTAGAGCTCTGTTGTTCTAGGTTATTAGTTCTCATTTCTGTCAGTTCCTACACATACATATGCGTGTATACTTCTTTCCATGGTGCTTATCTCCCCTGAGGTGTGCATTTTAATTGTCATGGCCAGGACCATAGAAGCCAAACACACATGGCAAAAAGCTACACATTTCTTTCTGAAGCAGTAAATCTTGTGGTTCTTCACTTTTTTTTTCTCTTTGGTTCCTGAATTCCTTTGAGAAGCTATTGGAAAAATATAAACCCCTTTGCCTACTAAAAGAGATACAAGCCACACACACACAGTTTTATGTACAATAATTTCAGGAGCTTCTTATACCCTCTGAGGACATTTGCCATGAAAGACAGGCCTGGGAGAAGGGATGCTATGTGAACTGAGAACTTTCATATGGAAGTTCCTGGGATTTAGTGTCATACATGAGAAAATAATTCAGAGTTTCTTTCTAGCTCCAGTTCCCCTTTGTCCAGAGTTCTTAACCTTTCAGATTTTGATGAAAGTGAAGAACTCTTTCCTAAGAAAAATGCACATGCCCAGATTTGTGAGCTCCACTTCACAGGACCCCTCCACAGAATCATTACATGTTCTCCCTAGAGCCCAGGGCTCCTCAGTAAATCTCCTGGTCTAGGGTAATTACTTGTGAAAATAACACTGAAATAAGTAAAAATGTATTATTTCATTTGCTCAATTTGATAACTAAATTCTTAAAAACTAACTGTAGTGTTTCCAAGTATTTATTGCGTCCAAGTCTTGTGAAATTCAAAGTTAGTTTTATAATAGTTTTCCACATAAGTATATATTCTCATAGTAGGTTAAGGATGGTGAGGAGTGTTGAATTAGAGAGGATTGATTAGAAGAAAAGAGTCACTAGAGAGAACATTTAGGAATCCTAGTAGTGTCATTTTTTTCCTTCCATTTTTCATGAATCATTGTTTTTTATATCTGCTTTTAGCTGGAAAATTGTACAAGTAGATCAGCAGCTGTAAAAAGAAATTCATGCCCTAGTCTGTCTTTTGTTTAACTTTTAGATGGACTTATGGATTCATCTAGGCCAACCAATTCATTTGCTGCTCAACCATGGCATAGTTGCCATAAACTCATTTATGTACGGCCTAACTCTAAAACTGGTGTTCCTGTTGGACATTGGCCAATTCCAGAATCATTTTGGCCAGATCAGAATTTACCTTCACTCGTAAGTATCATAATACAAAAAGGTAAACATTGTGTGGATTTTTAGTTGGCTGATTATAGTGAACCTTTTGAGAGAGTTTTGAGGCGAGATCTTCTCCTTTTTGCCTTCAATCTCTTAATAAAAGTCTACCTTGTGCCTAAAAGCAAAGGAGGACTTCCTTTACTTTCTAGCATTTTCACTCTTTCTTTAAGTTGCCTTTTTCACTTGAGCTACCATCTTTGGATGTTAATGCATTGTTATTTTTGATGTTGTCATTATCTGTGACTTGATTTTCATCTCAGAGCGGCTGACTTCATCTACTTGGTAAACACAGTGCCTAAAAAGGCACTGGCATCAGTTTTCATACACAGCCTCCGGAAATTGAAACCTAGTTTACACCTCATATAGGTTTTAGAAACATATTCAAAACATCTTCAAAGGTCTACTTCCTAGAGAGTCATAAGACACATAATGGAACTGGCTTGATCTACAATTTTTCCTTTTTTTAATCAATGAACTTCTGCTCTATAGCAATGTACTTTTCAATGATGGGTAAATAAGGAATGTTTAAAAAAATTTCTAATGACCCACACACAGCTTATCTTTTTGGTCACTGGATTTGATAGAAGAAGATTAGATATAATTACTCCTAGTACCAGACAAATTGGCTTTTTTTTGGTGGGGGCAATGTCTAGTAATAAGGAACACTGTATAAAACATATTTTCCCCCACCTCCAGTCTAAGAAGGCTTTAGCAATCTGTTGTGTGGGCTGGGGTGGGTGTCAGTATGAGACAAATACATCAATCCTCTCTAGTTTAACATCTTCCTAGTTGAACTTTATCTGTATTTTAAGTTCTAGAAATTTCCACAGTGAACTGCATTTTCTCCTGGGTTACTATTTTTAGGCTCCTGCATTTTATTTTTCAGTAGTGGCCATGTAAACCTGAAATTCTCTTTCAAACCCTTGCTGTTGGTGCTAGTAAATTTCCCCCTTGGTGCCCCTGGGTTCTCAGCCGCTTTGAATCACCAAGTAAATGTTTTAGTGGTAAATGTATTTTGTTATTGCCAGTGATAGGACTTTACTCATGTCTTTATTGATTTTTTACATGCTCAAATCTAAGAAGTCCAAAATATTTCACAAGATTAATTAATACTGCAATCAGGAAAATCTGGAGTAAATGAAATTCCAAATAATGCATACAGTTTGTTTCCATTCCTCCTTCTTTAAAGGCTCATTTGAGGACTATTTTTCTCAACTCTCAAATATCTTGTGGGTTTGTAAATGATAAAGGCAAGTGAATGTGTTTTCCCATTTATAAAGATGCAAAGATATTTGTCATATGTCTATTAGTCTTCCAGATCTCGCAGCCCTTGCTGTTTCCCTTTCTTTCTTTGGTGCTCTTCAATCACAAGTTAAACCTGATTAAAAAAAACAGCTTTTGCATCCCTACCCAAAATATCCCTAGCTTCAACTGTGTAAGACAAGCTTCTGTCTGGGCCCTGGAGTTATGACCAGCTCAATAGCCGTCTCTATTTTGCCCTTTCCATACCTTTACTATTTTTCATCTTACTTGTTAGTAGCTTGAGTTCTGCCATCACCTCATTAGAAAATTTAGGGGATTGCACAGGAATACAAAGAATGAAGGGCAGGTGATGCTTGGTGATCACAAAGTGGATCTGCAATTCAGGGTTCATCCTATGGATCACAGTGGCTTCTTAGATATATTCAAAGCATTTTTTCACTGAATTTCTAGTTATGAGTGTTGTAATTTATCTGTCCTGTTCTTAATACTAAGTGGAAGGTAGAGATAAAGAATCTGAATCCCTTCTTCACAGGAAAGCCATTGGTGATGCCTACCAATAACCCTTTCTCAAAGCCTGTATCTCATGATTTAACAAAATATAAAAGGGCTTGCAGAATTGTCAGAAATGTAAGCTTGCTTGATACGTGGTCATATTTTCTTCTCTTTTATTTTAGCCACCAAGAACATCTCATCCTGTTGTTAGATTCTCCTGTGTAGATTGTGAGCCAATGGTTATAGATAAACTGCCCTTCGACAAATATGAACTTGAACCTTCTCCCCTAACTCAGTATATCTTGGAACGAAAGTCTCCCCATACCTGCTGGCAGGTACTTATCCTTACTTATTGGCCAAATGTCTGTAACTACTCTGGGATCAGGGCTTTGTTTTCAGAAGTTTCAAAGGTTAATCTGGAAATACTAGACTCTTTCTCCCACAAATGCTATCAAGTAAGCAACAGGGCAAAGTAAATAAATTTAGATTGATGTGAATCATTAGCTAACTATACATTGCCATTTAAGATAGTAGGATATGATACCTATATATTTGAAAACGTCAGCTCCCCTCTTCCTCAAAACCTGTCCACGGATGCCAGGTTAGGAATCTGTAACTTATCCAGGTGTTATGATGCACGCCTGTGTAATCCTAGCCTTTTGGGAGGCTTAGGCAGGAGGATCGCAGGTTTGAAGTCAGCCTGAGCAATTTAGTAAGAACCTATCTTATTTCACTTAAGAGTATGGCCTCAATGTGCATCCACTTAGCTATAAATGTCTCTAGTTTCTCGTTCTTTATGGCTGAGTAGTACTCCATTTTATAAAAAAAAAAATCTTCTTTGTCCAGTCACCACTAAAGGTACAAGATCCCAATGATGAATGTAACTGTATTGTATACCTAAAATGTGCCAATAAACCTAAGGAAAAAAATAAAATAAATTTATGAACTGACCAAAAAAAGGAACCTATCTTAAAATAAAAAATAAAATGGGCTGGGGATGTAGCTCAGTGGTTGAGCACCCCTGGGTTCAATCCCAGGTACCACCACCACCACCAAAAATGAATAAATAAATAAATAATAAATAAATAACCTAACCTAATCTAAAAGATATAATTCTACTGGGGTATTGTTTGTGAAGCTGAAGCAAAGTTCTCAGGCCTTAGTTTGAACTTGACAGATTGGAAATATAGGCTAGTTGAGTCAGAAACTATAGTCCTTGAAATCCGTTTCTATAATAGTATAATGTAATAAAACTTTCCAGTAGTAAAAACCATTCTGGTGTAGGTAGTGGGATTTTACTTGGATGAGACAAATTCACAGAGACGTCATGGACCAACTCTTCCAAGTAGTATGCTGCAGCCAGAAGGTCTTGCAGAATTGGTTAATGTAGTCATCTTCAGAGTTTAATTTGTAAAAATGCACACATGGTAGTCACAGACTTTATTTGAATATAGCAGAAGAATACCACATTGTAAGGATGTTTGCTCTATGTCTGAACTACAGAACCATGTAGCAATTAGTAATTGTTAGATTCTGTTTATGCAAGGAACATCTGTTTCACCCTAAAATGTGAGGTTATTGCTACTAGCTGTCTGTAAGCTACCTTACTTCCCCCAAGATGCTAAAAGCAGTTAGAAAAAAGGAACAGGCATGAATCAAGAATATAAAAGGGCAAGAAACAGACCAACGCCAAGAATATAATGTTGAAGACAAGAATCCACTCAAAGAGAGGTAAAACTAACTGATTCTGTTAGAAGTCAGGTTAATGATTCCTGTTGGGGGCTGTAGGGTAGTGACCAAAAACAACATGAGGGAATTTACCAAAAAATGCTAGAAATGTAGAGACAGAATGCTGACATAAAATAAAGCTATGAGGTTTGAATGTAGAGGTTGAAAAGCATTTTTGCAATGAAAGCAAATAAATTACATTTTCCTGAAAGATAAAACCTCTTTTATATATAGCACATTCCTTATAAACCCCCTCCAAAATGCTATAGTCTTTCTCCTGACCTTGTATTACCTAAGTGTACTTTAATGTGATGAATTTTTATTTGAGGCAGGGTCTCGCTATGTTGCTCAGGCTGGCCTTGAACTCATGACAATCCTGCCTCAGCCTCCCTAGTGCTGAGACTCCAGGTATGCGCCAGCACAACTGGCCGCTACTGTGATAAATTATTGAGAATAAAAAAGAATAAAATGAACCAAGAGCCAGGGAATTGGCACGGCCCTAATGGAGTTTAGGCTCAAACCCTAGCTCCGCCACCAAATATCTGGCCTTGTACTAGACACTCACTTTCTCTGGACTATATAGTCTCTAATTATTACTTGGAATCCCCCCAAAATCTATAAACTTGTGGGTGATAGTAAATTTAGAATAACTCCAGGGGTTTATGCAGAGGAAGGAAAGAAGAGAGAGAGGAAGTAAAGGTAGGTGAGAAACAAAAAATGGTGCTTTACCTTTCTTGGGAATTGTAAATCTGATTCCTAGAATTAAATATATATTTCTTTGTCTTTTTTTTTAAGTTTTACTTATTTTATTTTTACATGTTTTTTTTTTATTCTTTTATTTGTACATTTTAGGTATACAACACAATTACATTTCTCATTGGGAACTTGTACCTTTATATGATGCATCTTGGTTCTTATTTTTTCCCCATTCCTAGCCTTCCCTTCACCCCCTCCACCCTTCCCTATTTACAAAGACTTTATTTCCATTTTTTCCATTTCTCATCATTTTTCCTTTCCCTTCTTTCCTTTCCCCTGCCCCTCCCACTACCCCTACCCCTTTGGAACTTTTCTTCCTATTTTGCATTATCGATTATTCATTCTAATCATTGGTACATTTTAGGTATACAATATAATGACATTCATCCTTGGAAATTTGCACCTTTACATAATCTCTCTTGGTTCCCATCTTTCACCCTTGCCCAGTCCTCCCTTCAACCCCTCTTTATGTCTTTTATGATAGCCTTTTTCCCCCTTCTAATACACACACGTAAGAAATAAAATTCAGCATGTTTTATTGCCATTACCTGTTTATATTGAGGTGCAAATTGATACATGAAATCTAGCAGAATTGTTTTAGCACAACTCGTGTTTTGCAGCATTGTGAATTGCATAGGGAAGATTTATTCTTAGAAACTTCTAAATATAACAGAAATTTACTGAACTGGTAGGTGATTTTGCTGCTACTAAGAACTCACAATGTAAATGGAGGCTGTTAAATATCAAGGTTCAAATTTTGTCTTAACCAATCCTGCCAAAGGACTTTGGAAAAGTAAAGGTCTAGATCTCTAATGATATATACTGGTGTCCTGAGTCAGAACCAAAGAGTCATGTCCAGCATGGTGGTGCATGCCTCTGATTCCAGCACTAGGGAGGCTGTGGCAGGAGAATTGCTGTGATTCCATGCCAGCCTGGCTACATAATATGGGGAAGGCCAGCCTGAACTGTGAACTACGTAGCAAGACATAAAATAAACAAAAAAGAGTCTGAACATGGTGCTGCTTTAGCAGCTAATACACTAAAATTGGACCAATAAAGAGGCCCCTGAACAAGGAAGACACGCAAATTTCTGAAGCGTTCCATATTTTTTGATAAATTTTAGTGATTTGTAGAAAAATGGCTTACCCTGAGACCATAATGCTTAGTAAAATAATCAGACCCAGAAGCTTAAATATCGTATGGTCTCGCTTATTTGAAAAACCTAAAGTATAAATAATTTAACGAGCAAAATAAAAGATAAGAGGAAGCAGAGAGTAAATCTTTTGCCAATTGAAAGAGGATCTGAAGATGAAGGCGGGGGCACAGAGGAGAGGAAGGAGAAGTAAAAAGGATTAAGATGTAATATGTACTTACACTAACTCCCCAAGATGAATGTGTTCATTATGTATCCCAAACATGTACTAATAAAAGAGTCTGAACATGGAACACACAGTAAACATGGTAGCTAGAGAACTGTGTGCAGGGGCTGACGATATAATTCAAATCAAGTTAGAAATATGAATAAGGAATAAGAAGATAGTCAAATGAAATATGATCAAAGTTTTAATCTTAATCAAATATTTGCTGTAACGTCCAAAGAAAATGCCCTCCATATTCAACCAATGCATCTCCTTTCTGCCTCAAAATAATTTGCAATAGTGTCTGCTTTATAATAGGCTACTCAGTAAATATTTATTAAGTGAAAAATGGACAAATGTGTAGGGGAATGGGACAGGAAAGAGAAATAGAGCAAGACTGAATGGTAGTGCACATGAGAATTGTTTCTATAATCCTTTAATAGGCTGTGTTTTTCATAATTGTGTGCTTTAGGCATGGGACCATCTTCCCTTTTCCTAAAAGTCTGTACTCAGAACACCATTTATTCCTTTGAGAAATTCATTTGTTTTAATGGCTGGTATCACTTACTGGTATTTTAGCTTTATTCTCCATTCTGCAAACCAAGTAAATATTTGGGCGTTTTTAGTGTGGCCTATGGTCCCTGAGTGGTTATTACATTGTACAGTTTCATTTCTTAATGTAATTTGTGGAAAATTGCATTCTGAACACTTAAATTTAGTATGATGTATTTTGACATAAATGTAGGCTAAAAGCACTATTCCTATTTTAAATTACAATTAAATTGTGCCACAGCTGTTACTACAGAATGTTGCCGTGAGTTTAGTTTTACATAAATCATTACTGCCATAACTGTACATTATTCCATGTTCTTCACAGGTATTTGTTACTAGTAGTGGAAAATACAATGAACTTGGATATCCATTTGGTTATTTAAAAGCCAGTACAACTTTAACTTGTGTAAACCTCTTTGTGATGCCTTACAACTACCCAGTTTTACTTCCTCTTTTAGGTAAGTAAAATATGTGCCATTTAGTCATCTGTAGAATATAACAAAACAAAAGTAGAACACAGATTAAGCATTTTAAATATGCCGACGAAAAATTGATGACAAAATAGATAAAAAGTGAAAACTTCTTTGAAAGGCTAGAATTTACATGGTACATGTTTTGTTTCTCTTTCATTAGTGTGTGCGCTTACTGTTGTTCTCTAGTTTGCAAGCTCCAATGAGCACCCTCTCTCCTATTTTGAAGTGCACTTGGCCTTGTTGTACACTAATTGGGTTTAGAAAACTCAGGGTTTTGTTGGGGATAACCCTAATCCTAACCTTCTAGGAATTGGATAGTTTTTTAAGAAAATGTGCCTTTTATGAAGGTATTGTCTTGCACTCCTTTCTCCTCAGAATATTAAATGCTCTTGAGATATTTGGGGGGAAGCAGGATAGAGAGTAAAGGTAATAAGTCTAAAAATCAATTCTGCAATAACTCTGGTTGTAGAAAGTATGGTTTCCATGAGAAAATTCTAAAAGAACAACTCAGACACTATAGAAAGTATGTGTAGAGGATTTGCAATCTCATTTAAAGTGCCTACCTAGTATCCATCTAATTGTAAAGTTTTGGACATTTTTATTTGATGGAGTTTCTAAACTTTTGTGAAAAAAAATAAATTTTACTGATTTTTTGTACAAAGGAGCAAAATCTTTACTAAGTTTGATCATTACAAGTATAAGACTTTTAGTGCCAGAGATACTACATATATTGAATGTACTGAAAGAGCAATCCTTTAAGTGTTGAGAGTTGGTAAGTTTAAGAATGGGTCATCATAAATATATTGAACGTGATTGTTTTGTATAGCCTAGATAGTTTATTTCTTAGGTAAAACCTGAAAATACTAGAATTGTCATTAACACAAAATGTAGGTATGTCTTAGAGATTTGTAAGACTGCCAGTAAAAAGTGTGTATTTTATAGACTAATTTATCACTTTTCTTAAGTATGCTTTTATGACATCAGTTTTATGACAAGTAAAAAAAGATTGGTCTAGATAATCTTCACTCAGAACTTTAAGTCTTACTTTTTCTATTTTAAATACACATTTTTGATCCACTTATTGAAATATGATTGGCCTAAAAAGGCTGTGATACATTTAATGTATACAACTTGGTGAGTTTGGAGGTGCATATACGCCCATGAAAACATCACCATAACTTATGTCATAAATGTATCCGTCACCTCTGATAGTGTTCCTGTCTTCTTTATGTACTATTCTAATTTTAAAATAAAAGCATTTCCTGTAAGATCTATCCTCTCAGTAGATTTTCAAGAACACAATATATTATTTGCTAACTGTAGGCACTATACTGGAAGACATCGTGCTGAGTGAAATAAACCGGACACAGAATGACAAATATTACATGATATTGCATACACTTTTCATTTTGGAATAATTGTAGATTCACAAGTAGTTGTAAGAAATAATACAGAGAAGGATGACACCAAAAACATAGGCAGCAAAAGCAAATTAAAAAAAATGGGAAGAAGTTAAGTTTATAGGCTCTCATGTTTCAAAGAATACAATCAACAATGTGTATGGGCCGGGGATTTAGCTCAGTGGTGTAATGTCTGCCTGGCAATCACAAAGTCCTGAGTTTGATTCTCGGTGGGGGAGTGAAATAGAAAAAATAATGTGTAAAAGCAACCTTTGGCAACGAAAAATATATTTGTAAATCATATGTCTTATAAGTGATTAATATTAGGCTATGTAAAGAACTCTTAAAATTCAACAGAAAGACTGAATAACCCAATTACAAAACAGGCAAAGGACTTGAATAGATATTTCTCCAAAGAATATATGCAAATGGTCAACAAGCATATGAAAAGATACTCAAATCACTAATCATAGCAAATATAAATCAAAACTACAATGAGATATTACCTCGTACCCATTAGGATGACCACTACCAAAAACAGAAAATACCAAGTGTTGGTGACAGTGTGGAAAAACTAGAATCTTTGTGCACTGTGACTGAGAATGTAAAATTGTGCAACTAGTATGGAAAATAGTAATGGAGATTTTCCAGAATATTAATAATGGAATTACAAGCTGGGTGTATGGCACACTCCTGTAATCCCAGCACTTGGGAAACTGAGCTAGGAGAATTGCCGTGAGTTCGAGGCCAATCTGGGATATACAGTGGGTTCAAGGCCAGCCTGAACTACATAGCAGGATCCTGTCTCAAAAAAAAAAAATGGAATTATCATGTGATCTAGAAATCACATTCCTGGGTATATATCCAAAAGACATGAATCCAGCTTCTTAAAGATATAGTTGCTCATCTACATTCATCACAGTATTATTCACAATAGCCAGGGAGGGGAAGCAACCAAGTGCCTGTTGATGAATGAATACATAAAGAAAATGTAGTAAGGCTGAAGATGTAGCTAGCTCAGTGGTAGAGCAGTTGCCTAGCATGTGTCAGGCCCTGGATTCAGTCTTCAGCACCATAGAAAAGAAAATGTGATGTACATGATGGAATATTACTCAGCTTTGAAAAAGAAAAATTCTGTTAGATGGATGAACCTGGAGGACATTATGTTAAGTGAAATGAGCCATTCACAAAAAGACATACAACTGTATGATTGCACTTGTGTGTCTGTTTTTATGCTAACACCATGCTAATTTAATTACTATGGTTTTGTAGTTTGAAGTTTGGTTGTGTAATTTCTCTTTGTTCTTTTTGCTCAATATTACTTTGGCTATTTAGGATATTTTGTGGTTTCATAGAGTTTTTAGAATTTTTTTCTAGTTCTGTGAAGAATGTCATTGGTATTTGATGGGGACTTCATTGAATCTATAGATTGTTTTGGGTGATATGCACATTTTAACAATATTCATTCTTCCAGTCCATAAACACAGGATATTTTTCCATTTTGTATATGTGTGTTTGTGTGTGTGTGTACTCTTCAGTTTCATTTACTTCCACTTTTTTATTTGTATGCTTTCTATTTCTTTCTCTAGCTGATTGCTATGGCTAGGACTTCCAGTATCATGTTGAATGAAAGTGGGCATCCTTAAAAAAAAACAACAAGAAAGGAGGAAGTGGGCATCCTTGTCTTGTCTTGTTCCAGACCTTAGAGAGAAAATATTTAGGGTTCCCCACTTGGTATAATGCTACCTGTTAGAGGATCAAATTCTTTTTCTGCATCTATTGAGATGATCAAATAGATTTTTGTCCTTCTGTATCATGTTTATTGATTCACATATGTCAAGCCATCCTTGCATCCCTGGGATGGATCCCACTTTATTGTGGTAAATTATCTTGATTTGCTGTTGGGTTCAGATTGCTAGTATTTTGTCGAGGATTTTTACATCCACGTTCATCCAGGATATTGGCCAGTAGCTTTCTTTTTTGTTTTGTTATTGTCTGGTTTTGGTATCAGGATGATATTGGCCTCCTAGCATGTGTTTGGGAGACTTCCCTCCTCCTCAATTTTGGGGATAATTTATAAAGCATTAGTATTAATTCCCCTTTAAGTGTTTGGTGGCTCTCATCAGTGAAACCATCTGCTTCTAGGTTTTCTTCTATGGGAAACATTTTATCACAGATTCTATCTCATTACTTGTTATTTTTCAGGTTTCCTATTTCTTCATGAGTCAAACTTGGTAAGGTGTAGGTTTCCAGGAATTTATCCATTTCTTCTTGCCTATCAAAGTTGTTGTTCATAATAATCTTTAGTGATCCTTTATATTTCTGTGGTGTGATTTGTACTATTTCCCACATTGTAAATCATTCTTTGGATAATTGTAATATCTGATGCATTGTAAATGCTGTGTAAACAGTTGTTATGCTGTATTGTTTATGGAATGGTGACAAGAACAAAGTCTGTACATGTTAGGTACGGATGCAATTCCCTACCCCCTGGATATTTTCAATCTGCAGTTGGCTGAATCGGTGGACATAGAAACTGTGGATAGAAAAGGCCCAAGTGTACTAGCTTCATAAAATGAAGCTCCATAAAATTGAGAAGTGTCTTCCTATTCTGTTTTTTGAAAGAGATTGTATATAATTGGTGTTATATTATTATTCTCTAAACATTTGATAGAATTTTTTCAGTGAAATTATTAGTCTGTAGATTCCTTTTGGGAGTTTTAAGCTTATTAATGCAATTTCTTTCATAGTTAGAGGTTTACTCAATTATTATTTCGTTATGTCCATCATGCTTTTTATGCTTTTGATGAATTGGTCCATTTCATCTAAGTTGTCAAATTTATGTATGTGGAGTTATTCCTAGTAATCCTTTATTGTCCTTTTGATGGATGCAGGTTCTATAGGGATATTGCTTATTTCATTCCTGAAATTGATACCATGGGTTTATGTCTTCTTTTCCCTTTGTAAACCTTGTTAGAGGTTTGCCACTTTTATTGATCTTGTCAACAAAACAGCACTTTGCTTAATTAATTTTATCCATTGTTTTTCTTCTTTTTTCAATCTCATTGATTTCTTTATTATTTTTTCTCCTGGCTTTGGGTTTCTTTTGCTTTTCTTTTTTAATTCTTGGTATGATCTTAAATTATTGCTTGGGTTATCAGTTTGAGACTTTTGCTTTTTTTCCAATTGTAAGTATTTAGTGTCATAAATTTCTCTCAGCACTGGCGTAGCTGCTTCCTATAATATTTTACATATTATATTTCATTTTCATTCATTTCAATATCTTTTTTATATTTCTTGAAACTTCCTCTTTGACCTATATATTATTTAGAAATATATTGTTTAATTTGCAAGTATTTTGAAACCTACCTGTTATTTTTCTATTCCTAGTTCCTATTCCTAGGTTTATTTTATTATGGTCAGAGAACACATTTTATATGATATCCATTCTTATAAAAATTTCACATGTTTTATGGCCTATTATTGTCTATCTTTATACATGTTCCATCACTGCTGGAGAATAAAGTGTAGTATGTTCTTTTGGAATGAAATATTGTAAATCATTCCTATTGATTAATGTTCTGC